TTTTGCTCTCCTCCTGGGCTGGGCTCAGCTGGGCCGCCTCATCTCTGCGCCAAAGGGGTCCCACCTTCCGGCAGGCTAAGCCAAGCTTCCTGGGGGTAGCAGAAACACCAGCGAGGGAGAAGGGGTGCCGCAGGCCTCCTGAGCCCCCACCCCATCCCTGTCCCTTGTCTTGGCCAAAGCAACTCACCAGAGCAGACGCAGGGGCAGGAAAAGAGATGCCCCTCTGCTATGTTGTTTTGTTTTGTTTTTTAATGAAAGTGCCCAGAGAACAGAGGCAAGCCTGTGACACCGAGGACCCAAGTCTGACAAAATGCCCTTGTGGAATGGGCATGGGAAGAAGAGAAGTCCATCCTGAAGCCCACACTGGTTCTGGAAAGCCCCATGGGTCTCTTTCAGAGCAGATTGGAGATGCAGCCCTTGGATCTCTGATGGCTTCTCAGAGGAAAGGGAAAATTCACCTGCTGTGAATGCAGCCAGGAGGCCAGACCTCCTAAAGAGACAGACTTGCTGGCCATTTTAGTCAGAAATGGCCACAGGTAGTGTGATGAGGCCGAGCTGGAGGCCCAGGCCTGCCTTCCACCCATACACCCCAACCCAGCTGACACAGGCATGAGCAGCACCGGACCTTGTGTCCTGGGCTTGTCCAGCAGGTTACTTACTCTCCTCCTCGGTCACTGCCCTGCCCGCCCCCCCCGAGACTCCAAACCCCAGCTGTGGTGTTCGGGTTCTAGAGCTGGGGGATCACCGGCTGGGAGTGGGGGAGGGGGCACTAGAGCTGCTCACGGCTTCCTTAGCCCTGCCCCCAGCAAGATGTTCCTGACAGTGACCCGGCTGTATTTCAGCGCAGAGGAGGGGGGTGAACGCTCTGTGTGCCTCACCTTTGCCTTCCTCTTCCTGCTCCTGGCCATGCTGGTGCAGGTGGTGCGGGAGGAGACTCTCGAGCTGGGCCTGGAGCCAGGTATGTGCAGTCTTTGGGGCATGGGGTCCCCACGCCCATCACTCCCTCCTGGAAGTTGGTGAGGGTGGGGTTTAAGCGGCACGGAACAGGTGAAGGAGGGGACTTCTTGGGCCTGAGTGTCTCTATGGATGCTGGCTACCCTGGGCACCCCCCGGGGCTTTGGGGGCAAGAGGATATCCTGTCTCACTGTCTCTGATGGGTGCCTGCAGCTGTCTTTCTCCACAGGGCACTTCTGTTCCCCTCATCTGTCCTCTCCCTGGCAGCCATTGTGATTTAATATCTACCTAGTCGAATTTAATCTGGTGAAGGAAATGGGTAAATGGCATGAAATTCATAAAGTGCAAGAGGATACGTATCGAGGAAAAATCACCCACACTGCCTCTCCTTCCGAGAGGAAACCTGGGGGGCCACTTTCCTTTGCTCCCATGAAGTGGTAGAGTTTATGGCTCCTACACCGCCTTTTCCCCTTAAAAACATCAATTTGGAGTTTGTCCCTTGATGCTACATACGGTGCAGTTTTTTTGGTAGTACCCACATAGTATTTCATTTAATGGATGTCCCATGATTATTTAACCAGTCTGCTACTTACAGACATCTAAGTCTCTCACTATTAAACAATGTTATACAACATTGCGTTATAAAACAGTGTTATATGGGAATAGCCTTACGCATGTGGCCCTGTGCGAGAAAGTGCATTTGTAATTTTGATAATGTTGCAACTTACCATTTAGGAAAAGATGAATGAAGTTCCTGTTTCCTTAAATTCTCTCCAATGTGTTTCCTCAGACTTTTTTTGTCTTGGGTAACCTGATGGATGAGAATATAAGCGAGGTTGAGTACCTTTTCATATGTTGAAGAGTCATTTCTATCTTCCTTCCAGAAAAGTTCTGTTCTTTTGCCCAGTTTTCTACTGGGTTGTTGGCTCTCTTATTGATTTGTAGGAGCTCTTTGTATATTAAAGACAGTAGCCTTTGTGTGTGATAGTAGCTGCAAATATTTTTTCTTAGTTGCTCATTTTTCTTTTGACTTACTCTTTGGACGATCTTTTAAAAACAGAATTTGGAACACATCACCTCTCTGCCTAATACCAGACTCTAGTATCTTTGGATAAAGATCAAAATACTCACCATGGTCCGCACACCTCTCTGCCTGCTCCTTGAGCTTCATCTCCACCAATTCTCCCTGCTTTTTGATTTTTAAAATTATATACTGTTTTATATATATAAACACGCACACATCGATGAACATGTATATGTAAATTACAAAGCAAAATAACAATGTAATGAGCTCACCTCTCAAATGAATACTAGAACATTCCCAACGTTCCTGCGTGATTCTGGTGCTGCTTCCCAATCCCACCAACCTTCCTCCCCTACTCACAGCCCCAACCAGTCTCTCAAACTTTGTGTTTATCATTCCTTTGCCTTAAAAAACAAACAAAGTTTCGTCACTCATGCTTCTGTCCCTGAAGAATTCATCATACAGTTTTGAGTGTGCAGTCTGCCTGCTGGTACTTTTCTGTCTTCGGTGGTATTGTTTACAAAACTAGGCCACATTGGTCTGGGTGGCTTTAGTTCATCTCTTCTCATGGATGAATGATGTTCTCTCATGAGACCACTTTACTTTTTCTTTCTCCTGTTGATGGACATTTAGGTGGTTTCCAGATTTTAGCTTTTCACAGTCGCTATGGGGAATATTCTTTAAAAAAAAAATTTTTTTTTAGCATTTTTAAAAATTTTATTTTGGGGGGTGGAGAGAGAGAGAGAGAGAGAGAGAGAGCAAGCCGGGGAGGGGCAGAGAGAGATGGAGACACAGAATCTGAAGCAGGCTCCAGGCTCTAGGCTGTCAGCACAGAGCCCAACGCGGGGCTTGAACTCACACTCTGCGAGATCATGACCTGAGCCGAAGTCAGACGCCCAACTGACTGAGCCACCCAGGCGCCCCTAAAAGTTACCCTTTTAGTGTATGCTAACTAAGCATACACTTCAGTGGCATTAAGTACATTCACATTATTGTGCGAACATCATCACCATCCATTTCCTGCCTTTTCGCCTTGCGAATCTGAAACTCTGTCCCCATTAAACACTGACTCTCCATCCCCCAGCCCCAGCCCCAGGCTCCTTCCATCCTACTTTCTGTCTCTATGAATCTGACCACTCTTGGTGCTTTATATGAGGGGAATCGTGCAGCATCTGTCTTTTAGTGGCTGGCTTATTTCACTCAGTGTAATGTCCTTAAAGTTCATCCATGTTGTAACCAATGTCCAAATCTCCTTCCTTTTTAAGGCTCAATAATATTCCATCGCATGAATATACCCCATTTTGCTCATCCATTCATGTATCGATGGACATTTATGTTGCCTTATGTTTTAGCTATTGTGAACAGTGTTGCTCTGAACATGGGTATACAACCATCTCTTCAAAACCCTGGGTTTTCTTCTTTTTTAAAAAATTATTTTTATTTTTTCTAAATTTACATCCAAGTTAGTTAGCATATAGTGCAACAACGATTTCATGAGTAGATTCCTTAATGTCCCTTCCCCATTTAGCCCCTCCCCCCTCCCACAACCCCTCCCGTAACCCTCTGTTTGTTCTCCCTATTTAAGAGTCTCTTCTGTTTTGTCCCCCTCCCTGTTTTTATATTATTTTTTTCTTCCCTTCCCTTGTGTTCATCTGTTCTGTGTCTTAAAGTCCTCATATGAGTGAAGTCATATGATATTTGTCTTTCTCCGACTGACTGATTTCGCCTAAAATAATACCCTCCGGTTCCATCCACATAGTTGCAAATGGCAAGATTTCATTCTTTTTGGTTGCCGAGTGATACTCCATTGTATATATATACCACATCTTCTTTATCCATTCATCCATCGATGGACATTTGGGCTCTTTCCATACTTTGGCTGTTGTTGATAGTGCTGCTATAAACACTGGGGTGCGTGTGCCCCTTTGAAACAGCATACCCATATCCCTTGGATAAATGCCTAGTAGCGCATTTGCTGGGTTGTAGGGTAGTTCTATTTTTAATTTTTTGAGGATCCTCCATACTCTTTTCCAGAGTGGCCACACCAGTTTGCATTTCTACCAGCAGTGCAAAAGAGATCCTCTTTCTCCGCATCCTCGCCAACATCTGTTGTTGCCTGAGTTGTTAGCTATTCTGACAGGTGTAAGGTGGTATCTCATTGTGGTTTTGATTTGTCTTTCCCTGATGATGAGTGATGTTGAGCATCTTTTCATGTGTCGGTTGGCCATCTGGATGTCTTCTTTGGAGAAGTTCTCTTCATGTCTTTTGCCCATTTCTTCACTGGATTATTTGTTTTTTGGGTGTTGAGTTTGATCAGTTCTTTATGGATTTTGGATACTACCCCCTTATCTGATATGTTGTTTGCAAATATCTTCTCCCAGTCTGTCAGTTGCCTTTTAGTTTTGCTGATTGTTTCCTTCGCTGTGCAGAAGCTTTTTATTTTGATGAGGTCCCAATAGTTCATTTTTGCTTTTGTTTCCCTTGCCTCCGGAGACGTGTTGAGTAAGAAGTTGCTGCGGCCAAGATCAAAGAGGTTTTTGCCTGCTTTCTCCTCGAGGATTTTGATGGCTTCTTGTCTTCCATTGAGGTCTTTCATCCATTTGGAGTTTATTTTTGTGTCTGGTGTAAGAAAGTGGTCCAGGTTCATTGTTCTGCGTGTCGCTGTCCAATTCCTCCAGCACCAGTTGCTGAGGAGACTGTCTTTTTCCATTGGTTATTCTTTTCTGCTTTGTCAAAGATTAGTTGGCCATATATTTTTGGGTCCATTTCTGGGTTCTTTATTCTGTTCCATTGATCTTAGTGTCTGTTTGTGTGCCACCCTGGTTTTTATTCTTTTGGGTATAGACCAGAGGTGGAATTGCTGGATTATATGGTAATTCTATGTTAATTTTTTGAAGTTTATTTTATTTATTTTGAGAGATAAAGAGTGCAAGCAGTGGAGGGGCAGAGAGGGAGAGAGCGAATCCTGTTGTGGGGCTCAATCTCACGAACCGTGAGATCATGACCTGAGCCAAGATCGAGTCAGATGCTTAACCAACTAAGCCACCCAGGCACCCCACAAAGAGTTTATTTTTAAGTTATCTCTACATCCAACGTGAGACTTGAATTCACAAGCTTGAGATCAAGAGTTGTACTCTCTACCAACTGAGTCAGCCAGGCACCACCCCGCCCCCCACTTTGCCTTTTGTTTGAACCTATTTTTTTCGTGATCAGTTTTCAGAGTTCTCTCTCTATATTCTATATTCAGGATATGAATCCCTTATCGTATGTATGATTTGCAAATATTTTCTCCAGTGATGTGGGTTGCCTTTTCACTCAATTGATTGTGTGTGTGTGTGTGTGTGTGTGTGTTTATCTATCCATTTTGAGAAAGAGAGAGAGAGAGAGCATGGGAAAGGCAGAGAGAGAGGGAGAAAGAGAATCCCAAGCAGGCTCCACACCGTCAGTGTGGAGCCCGACCCACGGCTCAAACCCATGAACTCTGAGATTATGACCTGAGCCAAAATCAAGAGTTGACGCTTAACTGACTGAGGCACCCAGACACCCAGTCGTATCTTTTGATGTACAAAAATGTTTAATTCTCATGAGTCCAAATTATCTACTTTTTTTGTTGTTGTGTGTACCTTTGGTATCATATCCAAGACATCATTGTCAAATCCAATGTTATGAAGCTTTTCTTGGGCTATATATCTTTATTTTTTTTTTCTTGTTGGTTTTCAGAGTTTCTTTATATATTCTGGAAACTGAACCTTCGTTACATGTGTTGCACATACTTCCTCCTATCAAATCTGACACACCATTAGTTCATGAACTGCTGAAAGAAGATAAAAAACACTTACTTAAAGTATTATATGCCATCAATGGTCCTATGTATCCCAATTTTAAAGAAGTTAAAATGTGGGTGTGGGCGGGGGAGAACTGTATCCTCTAATTTGTGGTGCAGCTTTTCACTTTCTTTGTGGTGTGTTTTCCTCTTGAAAGAAATTGTCCCCAAATGCCGTATTTTGAAAAATTTCAAACCTACAGAACGGTTCAAAGAATCCTCTAATGACACTCCATACGCCCTTGACCTCGCTTCCTTTGGCCATGTTTGCGTTATCTTTTCTCCACACGCACACACACCACACTTTTTTGGGCTGAGCCATTGAATACAGCTGTAACCTTCACCTCTGGTGTCCTTTGGTGGACAGCAAGCAATTCATTATTTTAGCTGATTTTTGTCTTGAAGAAATATCCTTCCTTTCCCTACAATCAGAAAGACTTTTATATTTTCCAACACAATATTTCAAGTTTTGGGTGGTGCCTGCGTAGCTCAGTCAGTTGAGCATCCTTCTCTTGATTTCGGCTCAGGTCGTGATCCCAGGGTCATGGGATCGAGCCTTGGGTCGGGCTTTGAGCTAAGTGTGGAGCCTGCTTAAGATTCTCTCTCTCTCTCTCTCTCTCCCTCCCTCCCAGTGCCCCTCTCTCCCACTTGCACTTGTGCTCTCCATCTCGCAAATACTATATACGTATATACTTCAAGTTTTACCTTTCACATAAACCCTTAAACTCCCGGTAGTTCACTACTGTGTTATGAGATAGGGATCAAACTGAGTGTTTTCCATGGGATAACCTTGCTATACAATTGTATCTTTAGTGAATTGTGGGTTCTCGCGGTTTTCTTTCATCTTGTCCAACTTTTCCCTTTTGTGTGGCTAGGACCTCTGGCTTTTGCATTATATAGCACTCCTCTGGTAGGCTTCTTTCTCTTGCTTCCAATTTCTTAGTTGGCTACTTACGTCATCAATTTTTAGCTGCTTCTATTTCTAGCATTTATCACATATACGGCTGTCAATATTTTACTGAGTCCCACTTTTGTCCACCCCATAAGTTTTGACTTGTAATTTTCATCATCAGGCAGTTCTGGGTATTTTAAAGTTTCCATTGTGATTTCTTTTTTTTTTTTTTTTT